TATTTTGTTTTTGTTAAAGAAAAATACGTCTGGGTGTTAATGATCCTCCTGTTGTTACCTTTCATCCAGGTAGAAAGAAAAGTAAAGTTTTCAGCTTTGCTTCGAAATGATCCCTAACGTCGTTAAAGCACACATGCACACAAAACAGCAAAACCCTACTCTTCTCCATGCTTAAGTGATTCACTGGTCCCCCCCCCCGGTTATTTCTTGTGTAGTTCAACGAGACAAGGGCATTCAAGATAAAAGGGTTGTTTTTTGTCTTTAGAAGTTTCTTTGTTGTCAGGCTCCAAATTTTAAACACAAGCTTAGCACACACATTCATACACGTGGGGCTTAAATTGTCTCAGTTAGAAAACAAGAGAGTTCACCTCTTTCATTTACTGGCTAAACAAACTGCCAGCCTCAGTAATTCTCCTTGGAGCTCACAAACTTCTTCCCCACATAAACTCACAGCACTGTAAAAGGAATCAAGCTAAAGGAACCAAATAAATAGAGGGGGTGGATTTGAGGGGAGGACCTTAAAAAAAAAAGGACAAAAGAAGGAAATTTCTGATTTGCTTTCCATTACATCCGCAAGAATGGACAAAACTGTCAATTCCAGTCTCTGTCAGTTTCTCATTTCTCATTAAGTCCATTTGCCATTTTTATGCTTCAGTTTGTGATTTTTTGAAAAACGTATCCATTAATTTCCCTCTCTTAATGTGCACATTTCTGCACTGAACATTGTCTGTTAGACTCATTTATTTTGCAAGCAATTCCCCCTAATATAAAGCATATATGTATGTTATTTCAGGGTGCTAGGTCCAAGAGGCTGGTACTGGTGAAGAAGCCCTATATAGTTTGGAAATCAGGATACCTAAAAGTTTGTCTCACCCAACTGAGCACTGAGCTCTGCAGGAAAGGGCAAATACCACCTAATCAGGAGGTCCGTTTATACAAATCAGTATTCCATAGGCACCAGCTTCTAAGGGCCAAGGCTCTTTGGGCCTCCTCAGTGTTTATTTTGAGGGGGGCTACCCCCCACTGTTGAGGTCAAACATGGAGCTGGACACAGAGTGACATCAGGACGCCGTGTTGAGCCCCCTCAGTGTTCTTCAGAAGATGGGGCCTCTGCAGTATCTTCTTCTTTGGTGATGTGTAAACACCTACCCTAAGTACAAGAGAACAGGGCAGACCGCATTTCATAAGCAGAGATGGCACCAGGTGAGCTTGTCTGGGAAGAGTTTCACCATTTGGAAGCTGCCACAGATAAGTAATCTTCATGAGCCTAGAGATCAGCCTCTGAAGAAGACACTGCAGAGGATTAGTGGTTTCTGTGTAAGAAATCTGACTAGCCATTTCAGGAGTTTCGGCTCCAAAACCATATCATAAGCCACATTTAGCTCAATAGAACTTACTTTTCAGAAGACACATAGTCTTGCACTATTGGTGTGGGGTTTTTTTGGTTTTTTTTTAAAAAGATATGAGTAACTGGAGCGTGTCCAGAAGATGGACAAATCCTATGGAGAATTTTCAAATGCTTGAGTATGTTTAGCCTGTTGTGAGGGCTCTTTATGGCATTTTGTAACTAGCATGGGTAACCTGGATAGCTCTTAAGGCCTAAGTAAACATGTAAAATATTGACGGCATCATGAAAAATTCATTTGTTCTAAACATTAAACATGGATTCATAATATTTAATGTCAGTGCCGGAGAGTATTAGGGCAAATGAGAGATTCAGTTTATCCTCCTCCTTCCATTGGCTGAAATATTTATTTCGGCAACTCATGGAATAGTAGAGGATTCAGCCTAGCCCACAGAAGCACATATATATATACACATATATGTACACACACACACACACACACACACACACACACACCAGATTCTGCCCAATATTTATTTGTACCATTATACCATTTAATGCCATAATTTATCACTATTGTACAGTGAGGTTACAAAACTTAACCAAAAACCCAGAAAGGCTTAATTAATAAAAATGAAGTTTAGAAAAATGAAATAATGACCACTCCCCACATCAAATGGGGGGCGCCTTTTGCGTGGTTGCACGCAGCCCCCCTGGACCTATGCGGCTCCTGGCAGTACAGCCTGGCTTTGCCCCCCTGCCGGACACCTGGAGGTCTCCGCCTACCTCTGCCAGTTATCCTATCCCGGCTGAGGAGACTTTGCCAGGAGATTTAGCCAGGTAAAGGGAGGGACCGCCCTGCCCACACAGTAGAGGGCGGAACTTACCTGGGAATCCTCAGTCGACTCCAGAGCTTCTCCCACCCTGCCCTCCCTCAGTTAAGCCTTATTTTTCAGGTTAACCTCTTCTTCACAGGTACACAGGCGCTGCTACGTCACGGTCGCTGTTCAAGGGCCGGAAAGGATTTTTCTTGCATTGGCAGGTTTTGTCTTCCCTGTAGCAAAACGTCACAACTTTGGCGGTTTCAGGCCTTGGGCGGAATCCTTTAGTCTATCTTCCCTAAATGGAGGGGGGGCGTGAAGCAGTGACCCACACCCCCTTGCAGCAGTGATCCCAGGGTTCCCCGTTAAAGGGGTTGCTTGAGGGGAGACATTGGCCATACGCCAATAGGTTGTCATTGCTCTCCCCTGTGATGGCAGTGAAATGGGGGGCGGGCTCTCTGCTTGAACATTCATTCTCCAGAGCCAGCCCAATCCCCACTCATTCTGGATAACCCTGATGTTCCCCAGCTCCCCAGCCAGGACTGGGAGGGATAAACACCCAATGCCTAGGTCTCCCTACATCTGAAGTTTCAATAAAGTTGTGGCCAATTTTAATCCCATAACATAGTGTCTTGAGTCATTATTCCACCCGGGAGTTGCCTGGGGTTAGGGGGACTCTGCCTGTCCAGGCAAAAATGACTTGACCAACTATCTGAAGTTCACCAGGGAGAGGAGGCCTGCCTGATCTTATCCAGAGTACTGGGCCTACAGTAAAGAATGCAGAGTTCCTGGAATATATGAACCATGCATCTGAGCCAAAGGGAACCACCAACAGTGACTCCCCCAAAAGACCTCAGTGATCAGGAATTGAAATAAAGAAACTGGCAGTCCTTAAGTTATCCTAGATCCAAATTGCTAAGGACCTTATAAATATATGGACCTTGCATCTGGTCCAATAGCATATTGGGAATGAATGCAAGTGAGAGTATGCTGAGAGGGAGCCAAGCTCATTACTAGATTGACTTGTGCTGTGTGTGTGTACATGGCATCCTAGTCAACTCCAGAAATTAAAATGATGCTGTCCCTCTAAGTAAGCCATTGTAGGCAGGCATGCCAACTCCTAGGGGCAGAGGTGTCTTCAGCCCCCTCAAAGCCTGCTGGCAGGAGATCAGGCCCATTCCATGTTGAGGGAGGGGAGGAGGCTGAACACAGGGCAGTTCAGTGCCTGGCTCCTCCTGAGCATGAGAGAGGAAGCTGTGCCACACTGTACTCCGCAGTTGGCCTCCTCCTGACGATGTGACACATCATACATTGTGCATATGATATCACATGCATGTACTGCATGCTGGGTGCATGATGTAATATACACGCCAGCTCCTCACCCCCCAAATCTTGGGTGCAAGACAGCACCTCTGATTGTGAGGGAGTGGAACAGGCCACTTGGCACTCCTAATGTTAGGGGGTGAAAAGAACCCTGCTAGATCAAAGCAAGACCCATGTAGTCTAGCATCCTGGTTCCACGGTGGCCAACCAGATGTCCCTGGGAAGCCCACAAGCAGAATCTGAGTGGAACAGCACTCTCCCCAATTTCAATTTCCAGCAATTAGTACTCAGATGCATGCTACTTCTGGCAATGGAGACAGAACCAAACTTTTTCTTTCCAAATCTGGCTTTTTCCAAGTTCATTTGTCAAATCCGAAAACTCATATTCCTGTTGGGCCTGTTCTGTCAGGACACACTCCTGATTTAATTCCTGGGTGGGCTCCACATATTTTCCCACTGTCTGTTCAAAATTTCCCACTGCCTGTTCAAAATTTCTAGTCGAAGTCGTCATCAAATTCACCTTCTCATGTAACTGTTCCAGTAGGGCATTTGTTTTGTAGAAAGCACACAACAAAGCTTCTGAATACATTGTCCTGCAAGGTCAAATGCCTATTCCCACGATTGTAATCTGTAAACAGCTGCCGGCTCCCTGGAGTTGGTTACAGTTTCACAGTCTCCCTCTAGGGGGAAAACTTCTATTTGATCTTGCAACAAAGTTTCCCTTTTTGAGATACTTTGTCAATATTTGTTCCTTTGAAAGGCGAAGGGAAACAGTGGAATCACTATGTTTCTCTTCTTTTAGCTATCTGTCAAAAACGGTTTGCCTCTGGTCAATGAACTTCAAACGTCAGTCCTGACACCCCGCTCCAGGATCAGGACGGAGGAGAGTTGCTTTACTTTAAACTCACTTTAAACAGTCCAAAAAAGATCCCCCTTCTTCTCCTGCTGTCGAAGGGGGGTTCCACAATTTTAAATGATGAAATCCAATCCTTTAAAAGCGATTTTCTGAGCTCTAGCTTACGTTGTCTTTGCTTTATTCTGTCTACAGAAGAACGGAAGGCTGACTTCCTGTTTAGACCTTCCCGTTCCGTACCAAATTGAAATAGATTTTAAGATCCAATTCCTTTCTGCTCGCAAGTCCCCATCTAATGTCCAGTTGTTCAAAGTCTAAGTACTCACGGGTGCTTATTTTAGAGTCCAAATTGTCCCAGGAAAAAGGCAGCGCTCTCCGGCAATGGCTATGCGGCTTCGCTCCACGGAAATAGCAGTTGACTCACAGCACCGCGCCACTTCCCCCTCTTCACTTCGGAGCCCGTTAGTGGGTTCCTTAGCGAGTTGGGGGGGGCGCTAAAGGTGCCCGCCGAGTCCCATGGTCACAGGCTTCATCCGCCTGTGATTTTTGAAAGGGTCCCCGCTTTGCCGTAGCGGAGAAGACCCGTTTCCCGCGGAGCTAGTCCCTCCAGTTCAGAGGGAGTCCGCCATTGCCGATGGCGCCACCCCGGAAGTCCTCGAGACCAACTAAGTTTGTTATTGGTATGAGCTTTCGTGCTCATACCAGTAACAAACTTAGTTGGTCTCTAAGGTGCTGCTGGAAGGATTTTTTTTTTTATTTTGTTTCAACTATGGCAGACCAACATGGCTACCTACCTATAACTACCTCTTGTCAGGTTGGACTTGAGTCCCCACCAGCATGGCCAAAGGTCAGGGATGAGAGGAGTTCCTGTCCAACAACATTTCAAAGGCCACAGGTTCCCTATTCCTCTTTTAAAGCAGAAAGGGAATGTTGCTGACTCTTTTCCTGGTAGGACTCCTGACACTGACAATTTAGAGGTTTTCTTCTGCCTTCTTTAAAATAATACCCACACACGCACTTTCATGGGCTGCAAATGTGCCAGGAAAAGTGTTTTCTGGGGGGGGGAGGGGGGCAGACAATTTTGGTTTAGCCCTCCCTGTAACAACAAGAATAATCTGCAACAGACCGCAGTGATGTGAAATTACTTCTAGAGTGGGCAAGAGTATCCTGCCTCAGGATCTCCAGAGGTCAACTGGGGCACTGAAAGTTATGCTGCAGTTTCAGACTCTACAAATTGACTCCTTGAAGCTTAAAAGGACACAGACTTTAAACTTTTCTAACTGCTATAGGGTAATGCCAAAAATGAAAACCTTGTAGGAATTATCATTAATATTTCAATAAAAGACATGATGCAGAGTTATAACAAGCTCGGGTAAGGCCAGCTTGATTAGTTTTTTTCCCCAGTTTAATTGCTTCCTTGATCGGACTTCAAAGTGATCTGTGTGATCTGTTTTCAACTCCAGTCCCCCCTTTTTTTCTTTTGGTGGGGGCAGAATGTTATATTTATAAAATCCTTCACCCTAATTCACACACAGATTCGTTTACTCACTATCTCATAGAGGCCGGAGGCATACTCTTGAAGGATAAAGGTGCTGTCCCACACCACATGGGAGGTTGAAAGTTGGTGTACCAGAAACTCTGATTATTGATTATTGGGAGGGGGCAATGGAGGGGTATTTGCCCATTGAAGGGGCATTTGTTCAACCTTCCTTGAAGGAATGAATGAAACTTTATTTGCATCAGCTGTCGGCCATAGCAACAAAAAGCATTGCAATATACAGAGAACAAAATAAAAGTTGGTTATATAAAATGGTTTAGGCTCCTGAATCAGCAGTCAAATAGTAGACCTTATTCTGATTGCCCCAGCTAGAAACCTTGCAACCTTTGCAGTCATCTGCTCCTCTTGATCTGCCAGGACAAACAACACTGTGGCAGTGGTTGGGCGACTCAGAATGGTCAATAAAAGAGGCGCCAAACATTCACCAGAAAGGTTCAGAAAAGGGCAACCAAAATTACCCACGAGATGAAGTGACAACACTCCTATGAAGAAAGGTTGTAGCATTTGGGATTTTTTAGTTAGGGAAAAGAGTTGATAGGACAGAAGTTTATAGAATTATGCATGATGGGGAGAGAGTGGAGAGAGAATTTTTCTTCTTCTCCCTCTTATAACACTAGATGTCTATGATGTCTATGCTCTGCCTCCATGGTTAGATACTGTAATGCTTCTGTTATGTAGTGAGCTTGGATCCTAAAACAACAGGCAGGTAGAATCCTAGAAGTCAGCAACTTGATTGGTCTGCAGGAGCTGCCCAATCCGGCTCCAGGAGGGAGTTGAATCAGCCAATGACGTGGGACCCATTGTGTAAATAATGCATATATAGCCAGAGGTTTTTTGGGGGGGAAACTCACTCACTCACTGATGACCATAAGCTGAAATAAAGAGCATGAAATCAACACTCAACTCCGAGTATATTTCAGCTTCTGAATACCAGTTGCTGGAGTCATGAGGATGGGAGGTGCTCTTGTACTTGAGTTCTGCAGATTTTCCCCAAACATCTGGATGGCCACTGTGAGAACAGGGGGCTGGAATACATGGCTCACTTATGTTTTTAAAGCTGAAATTTTGTTCAAGTGTGACCCAAGTCATGTTGGTTACTCAAACACTTCAAAAGGTGGGGATTTACCACTAAACTTCAACTTGGGAAATTATAGTTTACTTAGGAAGCTGCCTTCTACTCAGTTAGATGACTGGTCCATCTAGCTCAGCAATATTAACACTAACTGACAACAGCTCCCATGAGTCTCTTCCAGCCCTGCTTGGATATCCCAAGGATTGGAACTGGGGTCTTCTGAATGCTAGGCAGATGTTCTACCATTGAATGGTGCCCCTTCCCCTGAGACATAGGTACCTGCCTTATACCAAGCCAGATTGGCCCATCTACCTCAGTAATGTCTACAGTGACTGATAGTAGCTCTCCAGGGTTTCAGGAGGAAGGGCATTCCCAGCCATTCCTGGAGATGCTGGGGACCTTCTGCATTATGTCACAATAGGAGCCTTATCATTTCATAATATGGGTCAAGTACCTCAACCCTCAAACTGGCTGCTCACAAGCAAGGCATTGTATTTTCATGAACAGAAGTGAAATCAGGCAAGACGCCCTGTCGAAAGGCCACCACATTGGATCCTGCATCATCAACACCCGAGCACTGTCTATAAAGGTGACTTTCCCCCTCCCTCTCATTTTTAATAATACACATGTTTATTAGCCCATCTGCACAATATCTGTGCTACATTTATTGCCCCATTTACACTCTGCGATTACAATGAGGAGAAGTTACAGTAGTTTCAAGGTGACCATTGTAATTCAAGGTAATCATTGGACTACTAAAGTGTTGCTACTGGAGATTATGAGGAATGTGATTAGGTAATAGTAGTCAATAAGAGCAAATGAGATTTTGCTTCCTGCTCAGAATCTAAGAGAGGAGAGGTGCAGCGGCAGAGGCTGTACATGGGGCAGTGACGGCTTTAGGACTTACAATGCGTGATTTCCCCTTCACTTTTGTATTGAGCCAATTCTTCACCAGACTTGGGGTGGGGCTACTAGAGAAGATCCCCCCGACTTGTCACTAACCACACTGCTGATTGGTTGACCTTCTCCCTCTGGAGACAATCTGCCCAATTCTAATCTACCTTAAAGGGTGATTGGTGGTGGTGGTGGTTTATTAGATCTATATACCCGCCTTCCTTAAAAGATCTCAGGGCAATTCACAATATAGGCATACAAGATAAAGGCACAAATAAATAGTTAAAACAAACAAAAACAATAACCCCTCTCCCACAAACACATTTAAAAGGCTGTAGAATATTAATTCAGCCTTCTAGGGGGACAGTGGACATGACTTTTAGAGGGACAGTGGACATGATTTTCACCATTTGACAGCTTCAAGAAAAATGCAGAGAGGAAAACTAACCCCTGTATATGGCATTTATTGACCTGACTAAGGCTTTTGACACTGTAAATCGTAATGCCCTGTGGACTGTCCTTCTGAAAATTGGCTGCCCAGATAAATTTGTGAACATCATTTGGCTCCTCCATGATAATATGACAGCAACAATCGCAGATAACAATGGCTCTCAAAGTGAACCATTCACAGTGGGATCAGGTGTTAAACAGGGTTGTGTTATTGCCCCAACTCTATTCATTATTTTCATTGCCATGATCCTACACTTTGTCGAAGAGAAACTCCCCACTGGGGTAGAAATCGTATATCGAACAGATGGAAAGCTCTTCAATCTGAGCAGGCTGAAAGCAAAGAGTAAGGCTACCGTAATTTCCGTCATAGAGCTTCATGACAATGTAGTGTGTGCACGCTCAGAGGATGACCTCCAAACCATCCTAAATGTCTTCACAGAAGCTTACGGAAAGCTTGACCTATCAGCATCCAAAAAACCAAAGTGCTGCACCAACAAGTACAAAATAAACCCTCTGCAGCACCACAAATCCAACTCAATGGTGTAATGTTGAAAAATGTTGATCACTTCTCCTACCTGGGCAGTTATCTTTCCACAAGGGCTGACATTGATGCTGAAATCCAGCATCGCCTGAGCTCTGCAAGTGCGGCTTTCTCCTGTTTGAAGTACAGAGTGTTTGAGGACCAGGACATTCACAGAGAAACCAAAATGCTTTTTTACAAAGCTATTGTACTACCAACCTTACTGTATGCTTGTGACACATGGACCACTTATAAACATCATCTCTAACTCCTCAAAAGATTCCATCAACGGTGTCTCCAAAATTTTTTACACATCACTTGGGAAGACAGGCAAACTAATACCAGTGTACTGGAAGAAGCAAACATCAACAGTGTTGAAGCAATGATTCTTCAACACCAACTTCGTTGGACTGCACATATGTGGTTGCCTGATTATTGTATTCCAAAGCAACTATACTATTCTGAACTTAAAAATGGAAAGCGTAATGCTGGTGGTCAACAAAAGAGGTTTAAAGGACTTCCGGGTTGGCGCCATCGGTAATGGTGGATTCCCTCTGACTTTCTGAGGGACCAGCTCCGCGGGATCGGGGCTGCACCGCTGCGGCGAAGCGGGGACCCTCCAAAAATCACAGGCGGGTGAAGCCTGTGAACGTGGGACTCGGCGGGCACCTCTTGCGCCCCCCCCAATCTTCGAAGGAACCCATTTTTGGGCTCCGGAGCGAAACGGGGTGAGCGGCGCGGTGCTGAGAGTCGACTGCTTCTTCCGCGGAGTGAAGCCGCACAGCCATTATCGGAGAGTGCTGACTTTTTCCTGGGACAATTCGACTTCAAAAGTAACTACCCGTGAGTAGGATAAAATTGGACTTAAAGGGAGAAAAACAATAATTCGGAACCGAAGCGGGGAGGCATAAACAGGAAGTCTGCCTTCCGTTTCTTGTAAACAGATCAAAGCAAAGAGACTGTAAGCGGAAACTTTGAAAGATGTTTGAAAAAAGGACGCAAATCCTAACATCAGAAAAGCGATCTCCCCTCCGGTTTGCAGGAGGAGGGGAAAAGGTTTGAACTGTATTTATCTGCAAAAAAAGGAGGGAAAGGAAGCTAAAATCCACCGCTTAGAACCTGGGAACGGACTGCCTTGGGACAAGGAATGCTCTTTCTGTGAAAAGGACTATTGGCAAACAGAGTACTTTTGACAGCTAACTCTGCAAGAGAGATACAGTGTTTCTGGAC